ACCCACCCCAGCATATCCAGCTGCAGCGGCCTCTGCATCACCAGAGGTGCGCAGTCGGAACCTGGAAGAGAGCGAGGGGGCAATCAGTTCGATTACATTACTTGCGTGCTGCGTCCTTGTTTCTGACAGACAACATACATCAATACAGAGGGAATCCAGTGAACACGCAAGAGCCACCTGTTGATCTGCTTGCTTCAGTGTGCGAACACTGAAAGTGGCTAAGTAGACAGGCTTTCGGGGTTTGAGAACAGACTTCAAAGTGTTTAGGGTTGTCACTGAACTCGGACGTGCAGAAGCCCCAGCTGAGTGTGATGCAGGGCGGGCAACACGGTCAGTCCTAGAGCTGGGACCTGCGGATTCAAATTTGGGCGGGGGAGGGTGGAAGACGGAAAACGTGAAAGTGTAAGAAGGGAGGCGTCAGCAGTAGCATGTTTTCGCTTACCCGCCCTGCTGTATGCAGCAAGTAAGGCGACCCGGCTGATGGCACCACGCGACGGCCGATGTGGCATGAGAATATTGTTAGTTGTGTAGGTCATGGTTGTACGAGGGCTGGGATACTGCCAGGGCGCCCACACCTAGACAGGAGGACGATTAGGGTCCTCAACCAAAGCCTTTGGCTCAAAAGCCTAACCGCAAGGCAGCGGTTTTTGGCGGAGAAATGCAAATGTATTACCTTTTCTACGGAACAAGTAGCCATACATGTTCCAACCCCCAACCTGGAGGGCCAGGAGACTGTGTTCGTCAGACCTCTAACCACTGACCAACCTGGTATGAGAGACTGTGAGTGTCGCGCGTACACCCCCGAGAATAGCCCAATGAGTCTCCGAGGTACACAAACCGCCACGCCACGGTAAGGTCCAGTCTCTTCGTGACGGAATTCGGTAAAGAGGTAGCGTTTGGTTGCTGATGTTTGTACCGTTGATCTGGAAAATAACCTAGAGTGGAGACCTGGTTAGTGCGATCTTACTGTTGGCGAAAACCCGTCTCGTTTGGTCCGTGAGTGCCCTACGCTAGCAGAGCAATTCAAAAGGATTCCAAACATCCTAGAAACAACGCTTAAACGGCCTAAGCCCAGTTAGTAATAAACAAAACATAAATAATCGTTCGCCTGTGGCATCCATTCGCTGGAAAGCCAGGTGAAATTGTCAGGTTGCCCATGTCCAGATGGGAGCAGCTGGGATCCGAATGTAGAGCTCCAACCAAGGATCTCAGGTCACATCATAACCACTGAGCCATTCTGAGACCCAATATTCGTTCCGGACAGAACTATCAATTGCCAGAACAGAATGGGGTGCGAAAGGCGGTACTGCATCCGTTCCATAATTCTACAGAAAGACTTATCACTGGGGCATTCGTGGTGGTTAAACGGACCGGCAACCTCCGTTGTACCATAGGCACATTAATTCCAGCTGAGGTTCGATCATCGGAAAACGGGGGACATTGTGGGGCATACAGCCAAATTTCGGAGGCGATGGTATGTTCAGTCAGTTCAGGGATCGGATCGCTACGCACTGAAAGTGATAGCTTTGATGTACAAGCGCCACTGTCTACGCGATTGGGCCATTTCTGTTAGTGTCATCAACGATCTCCATCCAGGGAGGCGGCAGTTGCCGGCCGGGCTTAATTTAGTGGTTAGTGTTTTCGTAGTTCTTTGCCAAGATATACAATGTCCACTTGTCAGTCGCCTCCACTCAGGACAGGGCTGGAAGAAACTAACTCTGTGAAGCAAAGGGTCTTCTGACATGCACAGTACATATCCTAACCAGAATAACCTATGAAACGTGGGTGGTTCGTTTATCGCGGGAGGGTTCCTTTTCTCCTAAGACCATCTAGTCTACACTAGCATTACTGATCCGATGTTCCCATCGGACCTGACCAATTATCCAGAGACACCGATGGTCAAACACTGACATCTCCCGTGTGTCCTCCGCGCGCAGAGATCACGTCTTTGATCCATAAAGCAGTATGGATAGCACAACTGCGGTGTAAGCTCTGTCGTGGACAAATAGACTGACGTCATTTAGGTGGTTGGCAAAAGCTACTGTGGCTTTCTCGATTCGAGAAATAATCTTGTAGCACTTGTAAACTGCTCTTTTTCACTGCGGTGTTCTGTCGTGGACAAATAGACTGACGTCATTTAGGTGGTTGGCAAAAGCTACTGTGGCTTTCTCGATTCGAGAAATAATCTATCTTCACTTGTAAACTGCTCTTTTTCATGCTCAGTATCATCTTCTTTTTTCCCATCATTATCAGTCACATCGCTGTACAAAAGTTTGTTTTACTGAACTACAACCGCTACCGCCCGCGCGTTGGCTCCAACGTGACTTTGAGATTTCTGCTGAGTGACTGTTGTTGTGGCCGCCGGTTAGCTATATCTGACCGCTGCTAATACTAAACGTGAACAAACATTTCAGCTACAAACGCTGGACTAATATATTCGCGCTTGTGGAATACTATTTCGATCACCGGAGATCTGGGATACCAGGAAGATAGAACTATTCTTTGTGTGGTGGTTCAACGGAATACGGAACTACGGAATCTCCTATTTTGAACTGTGAGTCAAGATTTACTTGTATTTTTCTCTTTGTGACTTTGTATCTGGCTTACACCAGTAATTTGTTCAGTTCACTAGAGACTCCATAGGGCCGTTAACCACTACA